AGGAAGGAAGGAAGGAAGGAAGGGAGGGAGAGAGAGAGAAAGAAAAGAAAGCCAGCCATAGGGCCAGGGATTAACTCAGTGGTAGAGCACTTGCCTACCATGTGCAAGTCCCTAGGTCCAATCCCTAGTACAGAAAAAAATAATGATAATAATAATAATAATAATGGGCTGAAGAGATGGCTCAGCAGTTAAGAGCAGTGGCTGCTCTTGCAAAGGATTCAGGTTCAGTGCCCAGCACCCACATGGTGGCTAATAAGCATCTCTAACTCCAATTCCAGGGGCTCCAATGCCTTCCATGGGTATTATATGACACAGGTACTTTTTTACATACATACAGGCAAAACACTCATACACATAAAATAAAAATAAATTAATTTAAAAATTTTTAAATAAATAATCATCGTAATAACTGAAGGCCAGAATTAAGGGGATGGAGAGATATCGACAAAAGGTCATGTCACATGCCTGTAATGTCAACACTCAAGAAGTAAGCCAGGAGGCTGTCAAGTTTGAGACAAGGCTCTATCCATCACAACATGATTATAATCATATTCTAGGTTTATAGATTATTACCCAAGTGGAGAATGTGCTACTTGGCAGTACTGGAATTATTTAATGCTTTTCCTCTAAGTAGTTTCTGCCCCACCTGATGTCCTGAGGATCCCAGCAGTCAGAGTGGAAAACAGGAACCAAACTATACTAGTCAGTGCTCAACCTGGTTGAGGGTACCATCCATTTACCCTCCTGGGGCTGCAAATGCTGGTCTTCAAAGCCAGGGGGCTTGTGCTGGAGCTTTGTGATCCTCACATCCCTCAGTTCATCCCAGAAGTTGGGGAAGGGAGAGCAGGAGGAGAGAGCCCCTCAGCTCCCCAGCAAGTTTCTGTTTCCAGACAGGCCGTTCAGGCCCCCTAGCCAGCCTGGACTACATTGCTCCATTATAGCCAGTGGCTTAAGCTGGGTTCTGAGTGAGGGTCCACTCTCAGGGACCATACATGAGTGTATTAAGCTTTGCACACTAGGTGTCTACCTCACTCACACCTCCCTACTCCCAGTCCTGGGTCTCAGATGACCCTGAGGAGACAGACAGACAGTGCTTCTTCCTGAAAGCCACAACTAACAAAGGTGCACAGCCTGAAGCTTTATGGTGTCCCCACCAGACCCCACTCCTCTGCCAGGTTCTCCTATCCCTTTGAAAGAAGTGGCAGGTTCACTGGTGAACTAGGAAGCAAAAGGGCAAATCCCCAAGAGAGGCAGAGTTGAGTGGAATTGCAACAAGTAGAGGTCTCTGTCATCTTTTGTCCTATAAACTAAAACAAGAAACTAAAGCTCTGCTATAGCCAATCAAAACAGGGCTGGGAGTCTGACTTTGACACACACATGTCCTGGCTAGAATGGGAAGCTCCCTCCCATGTCATCATCTGTAGCTATGGTAATCACATCAGGAACCACAGCTTGCGCTCTCCCCTGCCACACACACACATACACACATACAGACGCACTCCAGCCACCTTCCAGCTAGAAGGAAGCTACAGGTTCATCTCTGTTCCATAAGCCATAGTGACAATTCTCATCACCCTTCCCCTGTCCTGTAGGTCTTGGTGGTTGACCTCATCAACAACAGATTCCTCAGACAGGTGAGTGCGAGGGCTGAGCTGCTGCTCTTTTGCCTTCACATCTTCATTCCTGAGGGCTCAACTTCCAACTCTGGAAAGGGTCCATCGTAAGCCTCAAGACACTGGCAGAGCTGGACAACGGGACCATCTCAGGCCAAGACCAGCCAAGGAAAGTTTAACAAAACATTGATTTCCTCCCTATAGATACAAACAGGCTTTCTACCAATTAAGAGTCAGAACACAGCCAGGCATGGTGGCATGCACACCTGTAATCCCAGCGTCTGAGGGGAGGCAGGAGGATGAAGAGTTCTAAGAGACTCTGTCTCAAAAAAAAAAAACAAAAGCCAGGTGTGATTGCACACGCCTTTAGTCCGGCACTTAGGAGGCAGAGGCAGGTGGATCTCTGTGAGTTTGAGGCCAACCTGGTCTACATAGTGAGTTCCAGTCAAGCTAGGGCTACAGGAAGCCTCAAAAAGACAAAAAAAGTAAATAAAAATAAATAAAAAATCATAAAAGGGCCACCTGGAAAGATGACTCTCCATTTTTTAAAAAAGATTAATAGGAGCTAGGTGTGATTGCTCATGACTTTAATCTTAGGACTTGGAAGGCAGAGGCAGGCAGAGCTTTGTGAGGTCTAGGTCAGCCAGAGCTACATAGCGATACCCTGTCTAAAAAATAAAGATTGACAAGAAAGCCGATCAAGACATCAGTGCTGCTTGCCTTGGGAAGGAGATTGACAGAAAACAGATGAGTGCGGTGGTTGTTACTATTTAGATCTTACTTTTTAAAAAAATATTTTATTTATTATTTTAATTTTATGTGTATGAGTGTATTGCCTGCATGTATGTAAGTGCACCCGTGTCGTGCAATGCCATGGAGGTCAGAAGAGGGCTTCGGATTCCCCTGGAACTGGAGTTAAGGACGGTTCTTAGCCGCCATGTGGGTGCTGGAAATCAAACCCGGGTCCTCCGCAAGAACAGTCAGTGCTCTTAACTGCTGAGCCATCTCTCCAGCCCCTAGATCTTACATTTTTTAGCTAAAGTTTCCCTATATAGCCCAGGCTAGCCTGGAAAACAAATTCCCCCCCTCCCAAGTGCTGGTGTTACAGACATTCACCACCATGTCCAGCACTTTCAGGTGTTTTCTGTAATGATCATAAAGTCTTTTCATATCAGCCTTTCATCTCCCCAGGCCCAGGTGAGAAAACCAGCCTCATCTCACACTGCTCGCCTGCCCTGCCCAGAGTCCCCCCTAGGAGTGCTAGCTGCTGCCCTTTGGGGTGAGGGCAGTGGGAAACATCTCCTGAGTGTCAAGCACTTTCATAGTGGAATTATATGAAATTTAATCTCCAAGGTGAGGTCAATATTAATTGGTGGCCCGTCTTACCAGTGAGGAAAGCAAAGCTCTCACAACTTATAAAAAGTAGAATGGAGGGGGCTGGAGAGATGGCTCAGCGGTTAAGAACACTGGTTGTTCTTGCAGAAGACCCGGGTTCAAATCCCAGCACCCACATGGCAGCTATCAACTGTCCGTAACTCCAGTTCCAGGGGATCTGACAGCCTCTTCTGTCCTCCATGGGCATTGCACAACACGGTGCACTTACCTACATGCAGACAATACACACATACACATAAAATAAAAATAATAAATAAATTTAAAAAAAAAAAAGTAGAATGGAGATTCAAACCTCTGATCTCTGGCTCTAAGCCATGTTCTTCCACTAAACTAGAAGCTGAGGGCAAGAGAGAGGGCTCAGCAGGTAAAACTGTAACTGCAGAGCCTGACAATCTGAGTTCAATCCTCAGGACCGACATGTCAGACCAAAGAAAAGCAACTCATACAAGTTGTCCTCTTCCATGTGCATGCCTATGATACATGAGCACACGCATTCACATATACACACATGCACACAAAATAAGTATGAAAAAAATGTAAACTAGGACCTGAGCCAGGCTGCCCACAGGCATAGCCAGCATGTGGGCCAGCCAGTATGTAGCCCCGCTGCCTGGCGTGTGATACACCTGCTGCTTCTGCCTTGCAGATGGAAGATGAGGATTCCATTCTGCCCCGGAAGCTTCAGGTGGCCCTGGAACATATTCTGGAGCAGAGGAATGACCTGGCCTGTGACCAGGATGGAGGCCCACTGGACTACATGCATGGTAAATGCAAGCCCCATGGTGTGACTGGCCAATGACTACCCATTGGCTTTGGGCTAAGTGGGAAAATAAGGGAGGCATGAGGAGAGAAAGTGGGCTCAGCCCTTCATATGAATTTCATTGCAACAATAAATTGTGGGAGTTTTCCCCACTTCCTCCACTTAGGGTCTAAAATACTTCTTCTAAAAGGAAGAGGCAACTTAATTGTAGGGACCCTTTCTCTCATATGGTTACAAGGGGCCATGGAGGGAAATAGCCATTGCTGTGACCACTAACTGCATCTCTTGGGCTCTGGCCCACTGACCACCCTCACTGTTCTGGGCTTTCCCTGCCTTACTCAGGCTCTGAGTCCAACCCCTTGAATGAGGTGGTATCCGAAGCCTTTGTTCGCTTCTTCGTGGAGATTGTGGGCCATTATTCCTTGTTCCTGACATCCGGCGAGGAGAGAAGCCTGCAACGAGAGGCCTTCCGCAAAGCTGTCTCCTCAAAGAGCCTGCGCAGATTCCTCGAGGTCTTTATGGAGACCCAGACCTTCCGTGGCTTCATCCAGGAGCGAGAGCTGCGCCGGCAGGATGCCAAAGGTTAGAGCACCATCCATGTTGGGACCAGTAAGATAGAGATGTCCAGGCTGCAAGCGGCTAGGCAAGGGAGGAAGGTCATAGACAAAAGCACAGACAAGAATGACATTCTGACCTCCTCAGGGAGCTGATCAGACCACACTTGAGCTGGTGAACATTGCCAACCTCTGCCCCTCCCTGACTTCCCCTGTCCCTTCCTGCATCTCTGCAGCCCCTTCTCTTCCCTAGGCTCCTCTGCTTTTCCGGTCTGTTCCTCTTCCTGACCTCTGCAAGAGTCTGAGGAGGGCATGGTGATGGAAGGTCATGATCCTGTGCCTCTGCCCTGGGTGGACCTGGGCAGCCTGCTTCAGTTGCCACCCGGACCACACCTTCTTCTTCCTCTCTTCGAATTCTTTTCTTTCCTGCCCTGTCCCTGTCTGCTTAGGTGTGATCATGCTTCTAAGGAGAAACAAAGGAATACAGCATGAAGGAGAAAGCATCCCAGCCTGTTGTCGGTTGCCTTGGCTGTTCTGAGAGTCTAAAATCTAGGAAAGCTGGTAAAGGCAGTTGCAGAGGGAAGCGACACCTGAGAGGGGAAGGCACTTGCCTCTGCAGTGTGGCTGTGCAGAGGCCAGAAGGTTCCAGAGGAGCAGCCGGCCTTAAGCCTGGAAGTTCTCTAGTGCTGTGAACTCGGCTCAAAACTCTACAGTCCTACAGCCCTTCGCACAGGAAAGACAGGCAGCCACACTTCAGGTAGTTCTGATAAGGATAATGACAGGACAAGAGAAAAATGGATTAGAGAGTATGAAAGGATGGGCTTCATTTGAAGGTTCTTTTTATATTTTTTTAATATTATGTGTATGAGTGTATTGCCTGCATGTGTGTAGGTGTACCCATGTTGTGCAGTGCCTGTGGAGGTCAGAAGAGGGCACTGAATCCTCTGGAACTGGAATTACGGATGGTTGTTAGCCACCATGTGGGTGCTGGGAACCAAACCTGGGTCTGCTGTAAGAGCAACCAGTGCTAACTGCTGAGCCAGCTCTCCAGGCCTGTGAAGGTTCTTTTTAAATAGAATTGCTGCTGACTACATTTAACTGGGTTTGCAGGCCACTAATTGATAAGAAAGATAACTAATGTGGGGGGCACTTTGTCCATGGAAGACCCACCAGAAACAAGACAGTGCCGGAGGCAAAGAAAGCCCAAGGGCCCTGGGAAGTGACAGGCGGTGGGCCCTGCCTTCCAGAGTTCAGGAATGGCAGTTGGGCTCCACAGAACTGCACTGGTTGGCCCAGGTTCCCTGACAAGGAAGTTCAAGGAAATGGGAACATCTGCAAGCTTCTCCACTGTCTGGTTCATCTTTGGAACCCGTTTCCTGGCAGGGTGTCAATACTTGGAGGGTGTCTGCTGAGTGAAAATAGAATAGAATTTCATGTATGAACTGGCTTTACAGCTTTCCAAAGACAGCTGTTGGTCAAGGTCGGGCAATTATAAGGACAATAAAAATCCTTGCAAGCCTCATGAATCAGAACATGTTTATAGAAGCTGCTTCAGCTCCAAAGCAAGGCTTCCCTTCCCAGTGATGGTGAGGGAAGAGATTATTATAGAAGCTCAAAGACAAGAACTAAAATGAGTGGGTGTCTCTTGTCACCAGGTCTATTTGAGGTCCGAGCCCAAGAGTACCTGGAGACACTCCCCATCGGAGAGCACAGTGGCGTCAATAAGTTCCTCAAGGGACTAGGTAAGGCCTGGGTCCCTGTCACCGCGTTTCAGACTGTCTCTTCTACTCTTGGCTAGTTCTGTCCCTGAAGCTGGGAACCCTCAGCAGAACAGGAAATGGGCTGTACACCTTCTCTCCTAATCTGTCCCTAGTGCTCCTTTCTGGGCTCTAGGTAGACTTCCTGTCATCTTAGCCACAGTCTCCTCCTTTCCTAAGTCTCTTGGGAACTGAAAAGAGGAAGCAGGCCTGGACCAGGCAGGGAGTAATGCAGGCAGGACTCCGCCTGGCCTCTGAAAACTAGAAATATAAGAAGAATCAAGACTATAGTTTAATCAGCAAAGTCCTTACAGGAGAAATAAAATCTCAGGTGTGTAATCTTAGCATTTAGAAGGTAAAGTCAGAAGGATCAAGAGGTCAGCGATAGGGGCTGGAGAGAAGGCTCAGTGCAAGTGTACCTGCTGCTCTTGGAGAGGACCAGAGACCAGCTCTCAGCACCTACATGGCAGCTCACAACCATCTGTAACTCCAGTTCCAGGGAATCCAATGCCCACTTCTGGCTTCTGCAGAGACCAGGCACGCACATGGTGCACATATTTACACACAAGCAAACACTCATACACATAAAATAAAAATAAATATTTAGGCTGGGCATGGTGGGGCACGCCTTTAATCCCAGCACTCGCGAGGCAGAGGCAGGTGGATCTCTGTGAGTTCAAGGCCAGCCTGGTCTACATAGTGAGTTCCAGGACAGCTGGAGCTACAGGGAGACCCTGTCTAAAAAAGACGAAAAAAAAAAAAAAAAAAAATTTTAAAGAAACTGCAGTAGGCCATGGTGGTCCATACATTTAATCCCAGCATTGGAGAAGCAGAGGCAGGTGGATCGCTGTGAGATCAAGGCCAGCTTGATCTACATAGTTACACACATAAGAATAATAGCAAATAAAGTTTTTCAAAAACAGTTCAGTAACAGCTTAGTCTGCGTAGCAAGTTCAAGATCAGCTTGGGCCAAGAAAGAAAGGGGGGAGGGGGCAAGGAGGCTGGAGAGCAGGTTTGGTAGTTAATAAAATTTACATACATTCATACAAAACATTCAATATAAAATAAATCAAAGATTTTTTTAAAAAAAGAAAAGAAAGTCTGGTCATGGTGGCGCACGCCTTTAATCCCTCTGTGAGTTCAAGGCCAGCCTAGTCTACATAGGGAGTTCTAGACCAGGGGCTGGGACTGCAGGGAGACCCTGTCTCAAAAGGACCTAAATAAATAAATAAATAATAGGAAAAGAAAAGAAAGCAAACAGAGAATGAGAAGAGAGATAGGGAAAAGGTCAGAGAGACTGGGCTCCAAGAAGGTATTGGGGGTCCTCCTTCACACCTACATGTTGCTGGGGTTTCCTCCCTGCTCGGCACCTTAGGGATGCATCTACTTATTGTCTCCTTTATTGCTCTGTCAGAAGCCATCCTTCCTGTACCCTCTGCCAGCCTTCCTTCCAGACCCCCAAGTCTAAAGAGCCCCTGAGTAAAGCAGGGCAGGTTCCTTCCAACTCTAGGAAGGGAGAACCCCAGCTTCTCCAGGGGAGGAATGAGGTTACATGGTAGCATCGGGCAACAGTGGCCACTGCTGTAGAAGGGCAGTATTTAACTCACTCTCTTGATCTGCTGATAAGGTATCTTCGCTTTCTTTTTTAGGCAATAAAATGAAGTTTCTGCACAAGAAATAACCTTCAGTTTGGCTCAAGGGAAAACTTCCCTCTAGGAGGACCACAGGTTTCCAACACAGTTCCTGGTGTGAGGCTGTGGGCCATGGGCTGTCCCCAGAGCTCAGACAGACCAGTATGGATGCCAGCTCCCAGCTCCTGCCAGGATGGCACCTGTGAGCTGGGCAGTGGCAGATGCTCAGGACAGTCCCAGGAAGGACTGGACCTGCCAACATGCAAACTCTTGTTACTGTGGTTGGTTCTGGCAATGGGATCTTTTAAATCTTAGACATTAAAAAGAAGAAGAAAAGTGTTGGGGGTCTTCTTTCTCTGTTGCTAGAGCTAAGAAAAGTCTCTCCTACACTGCTTTCATCTTTTCTGGGCCAGCCTGTGGACAGCTGTGGAGACAGGAGGAGGGAGGAGATAGAAGAGTGACCAGCACAGAAGGGATCCATCCCTACAGGGATGTTGCTGCCCAGGTTACTGGCTCTTCCCAGCGGGTCTATGACGCCACCTGGTGGTAGAGATCATGGAGGTCACTCTTTTTTACTGCATTTTCTCTCTCCTTAGAAGCTATATTGAAACCAGTCAAGCCCAAGCAGCCTGTGACTTTTAAAAGGATACATAAAAGGAGGAAATCCTAACTATGTTAATAAAGTGTTCTTGGGGATCTAAAAGTTTTTGCTGTTTCTTATAGCCCACTCTTGACACATAGACCACTACTGTCAACCTAGTCCCCTCTTATTCCAGGGACCCAACTCAGCAAAACGGACTGAGATGCAGAGATGGGAGGGACTTCTATGGGCAGTAGGCACAGAAGGAGGCCACAGTCTGGACAGTGGGAGGTAGCAAGAGCCAGGTATACAACACGGGCAGGTTCTCAGAGCCAGCTTCGGGGCCACTACCCCAGCATAACCCACTGCTGGGTCCCCCCTGCATGCAACCAGTACTCCTGACAAAAATTCAGCCTCTGCCCTGGGGTGGGACAGGATGAACCTGAGTAGATGTGTAGCTGGGAGACTGGGGAAGCCCAAGTGCAGATGGGAGTGTTGGGGCTCAGGAGTCCGTACCCAGACAAGTCCTTCAGTTTACTTATTTTTACTGATAGCAATTATTCTGCATGTTTTATATTGCCCAAAATGATCATGTTTAGTGTTTTGGAATATACATACTTTTCTAACTTATTTTCTATTATACTGTTTACTTAAAAACTCCAAGTAAATAAATATATATCTTTATCAACATTCTTAGTAAGTGTATATTCTATTTGATAAACATGTTTTTATATTTTACTTAAGCAATAATTAAAATTGGGTGAATGAACTAGGCTGCTTGTATGATGCTTTTCTCAATGCTCTTTATATTAAAAATGGGAAACATGGGGCCAGAGAGATGGCTCAGTAATTAAGAGCACTGGCTGATCTTGCAGAGGAGCCAGCCAGGTTCAGTTCCTAGCACCCACATGGCAGCTAACAACTGTCCATAACTCCACTTCCAGGGGATGCAACAGTTCAATCCCTGGAACCCATGGAAAGGTGGAAGGAGACAACTAACTCCACAAAGTTAGCCTCTGATCACCACTTCAGGTGTGCGCGCGTGCGCGCGCACACACACACACACACACACACACACACACGCACATGCACACAAATAATTTTTTAAAAAATTTTTGGTCTTTTTGAGACAGGGTCTCCCTGTAGTCCCTGCCAACCTGGAACTTACTATGTAGACCAGGCTGACCTTGAACTCAAAGAGATCTGCCTGAGGACCTAGTTTGATCCCAGGACTCACAAATCTTTTTTGTCACTGGGCATTGCTGGTGCATGCCTTTAATCCCAGCACTCAGAAGGCAGAGGCAGGTGGATCTCTGTGAGTTCAAGGCCAGCCTAGTCTACAAAGTGAGTTCCAGGCCAGCTGAGGCTACAAAGAGACCCTGTCTCAAAAAAACCAAAAAAAAAAAAAAAAAAGACTTATTTATGTGTGTGCTTGAGCAATGACCAGTAAGGCCAGAAGAGGGCATCAGAACCCCTGGAACTGGAGTTACAGGCTGCTGGCGTTAGTTACAGCCAGCTGTGAGGTGTCTAATGCAGGTGCAGGTAATTAAATCTGGGTCCTCTATAAGAGCAGCATGTGTTCTTAATCAGTGAACCATCTCTCCAGCCCCCAACAGCATTTGTTCTTGCAGAGGACCAGGGTTTGATTCCCAGTACCCACATTGGGACTCAAAACCCTCAGAGTGTGAACTTTCCTCTGGCTTCCATGGGCACCTGCACTCATGTGGTACATATAAATTCACATAAGCATACATATGTACACACAAATTTTTTTTATTATTTTATTTTTATATGTGTATGAGTGTATTGATATGTATATGAGTGTATTGCCTGTATGTATGTAAGTGCACACATGTCATGCAGTGCCCTCAGAGGTCAGAAGACCATTGGATCCCCTGAAACTGGAGTTACAGGCAGTTATTAGCTGCCATGTGAGTGCTGGGACTTGAACCCAGGTCCTCTGCAAGAGCAGCCAGTGCTCTTTTGGTTTTTTTTGTTGCTGCTGTTGTTGCTTTTTTTTTTTTTTTTTTTTTTTTTTTTTTTTTTTGGTTTTTTTGAAAAAAATTCTCCCTT